TGTTATATTGAAATGTTGGTAAAAATCTACCAAGTAGTTTAAGTGGTTCAGTTATAGAATTGTCCAGAAAGAAATGGCATTAACTCTAATGCTGAAATAGCTAAATCCAGAATCACTGACTGCTTTTTCCCCTCTTTCTGTTTAGCCTATGGGGAGACTTACACTCTGCATCTGCACATTAGGAGAATGCATTCTCTTTTTTATATTCTCTTCTGGTTTTTTCCTACTCAGATGTCTTTTTCTTTACAATTTCTCATCTCATTTTTTCCTTTTTTCTCCCTTTAATTTGAGACAATTAAATAAGATGATGATAATTAACTTGGTTAAGACAAATTACAAACCAAAGAAATAATGATAAAGTGTGGTCGCACAATACACCCATGAGAGCAAAATATATTTTACTTAAGATTTTTGTGGTTTCTTCATTTGAAATTCTACTCTATTATCAAACAGAAAGAATGTGTTTTTCTACTACATGTGAAAGAGAATGATTTCTCAGAAAGGTCTGCATATGTGGGATAAAACTCTTAAATCTTCTTATTTTCAAAGTTTGGAAGAGTAAACTTATATTTAATGAGCACGTCTTACTCACACGTACATATCTTTCCGTCTACACAGACGCCTACGAGCAGCCGGGTCCTTGCGCCTGGCACGTAGGGAAGGGCACAGCACGTGCAGTTGATTGACCGCAGGCGCTCAGTGGCACTGGTAGCTAGCCCCAGATGCGGAGTCCAGACTGCGGAGCAAAACATTTATTTTGTTGTTTTCATAAGACACTTGTTTTCAGACGGTGAGCACTGGACTAGCAACATCCGCTGGGAACTTGTTAAAAATGCAAATCATTGGCCTTCCCCCATCCGCACTGAATCTGAAGCCAGTTCAGCCAGGCCTCCAGATGATTCTGATGTGTACTAAAGCTGGGGAACCACTGGGGAAGGGGACCTTGCCGGCCTTGCAGGATCTGCCCATGTCAGTGGACTCGCCTTAGTGCCTGCCCTCCTCAGGTTTTCTTGCTGTCCTCTTTTCCTTGTCTTTGCTCTCCTACTGGCCTGACTCCATCTTGTAGTCACACTTACTCTATGAGCCCCAGTTGCTGCTCTTACACACCGAGCCTTGGGATCTGGCTCAGCCTTGATGGGCACAACAGGAGACCTGGATATTCTTCAGTGAAGAGCACCTATTTCTCTCTTACTAATATTGATCACTTTTCCTTGCAAGGATTCAGTGCCTTATTGTTTAAAATGGTTCACTTTCCAAGAGCGATAAAGATGAGAGAATTGAGATCCACTTCCTACCACATGTACTATAAACGGGGTGCCTTATTGGGACAGTCTGATTTATAGCCCTGGTTCCAGCATCATAATGCCGTTCCCTTTTATTCTGTTAAGTGTTTGGGTTTAGATGATAAATTATTTGGCAATGAATTTAAATCATAAGTAATTCTCACACTGTTGGAAACTGGTGAAAGAAAGATTCACCAAGAAAGACATGTTTGGGGCATAAAAATGAAAGATATCCAATTACAGTAGGTAGGCAAGGCAGGGCTATAGATGGGGATGGAGACATATCTTATAGGCTGAGGGTTCAGGATGAATAAGGCTGTGAAGCAGCAGGTTACATGAAGTGAAGCTTAAGTAGCTTGCGGACACTGGAGCCTGTTTCTGGTAGGAGCAATAATAAATGAAGCTGCTTGAAGAGGAGTGATTTGTGGGAAAGTCTTCCAGAAGGAGTAGGGCACATTTTGTTTCTTATTATTCCTCCAATAACATATCAATTTAGGGTTTTTAAAATATTTATTGAGAAGAAACCTAGTATATCTTAGTTACCTGATATATGTTGGTTCTATGTATTTGAAATGCTTATTGCTCTATTTTTCATCAGTTCTGGGCTATATTTCAAACAAACAATCATTGTAAAATAGAAGAAGAAATTACTTTTGACTTTAGTTCAAATTTTCAAATTCAGTTAAAAAGCAGACACCAAATGATTTACACTCCGTAACATTTTATGCCGTACATAACGTTAAAGCTGGACTGTTGAGATATATTGCCTGTCAAGAACAGAATGGGGAGCATTATGCAAATATCTCACTGATATATTGTGATACTGTTTTTTTGATGCTAATCTGATGAATAAATTCTACTGTTATAAAATTATTGTATCGGAAGTATTTGTCACCATTTACAATAAAAACAATTATGTGTTTCCTATTGGTTTGGGAACTTGGAAGCTGTTTACAAAGAGCATGTTGCATGGCAAAGCTTACTTAAAGCATAAGTAAGAATTATGCTAAAATTGTATATTTGATGATCATAAAGTTGTATATTTGATTTTACACAAATAGTTAATGTTATCCTTTTATGGTTGTTGGTTTTGAACCATTCAAAGATGTATTTAACTTAACAAGCTTGAAAAGCTCTGCCCTGGGACATTGCATATAAACTCAGCTCTTATGCCACTATCATTGTTTTACCACACAGGCTTCTTGTCGATGTCCCTTTGTGGGCAGTACAGATATCATGTCCTTTTTCTCTCTCTCTCTTTTTTTTTTACCTGAGCTAAAATATCTTCCTTTCCTTCTATTGTTTGGAATAATGAATTTGAAGAAAAGAACTTTAATTATGCAGTTAATTGTTGCATTTTTTTCTAGTTATTAATATTAGAATACATTTCAGAGTTAACTACCTGAACAGGAAAAGGAACAATTAATAAGTTGCTACATTATCTTTTGTTAAATATCACATAATTAGCTAATATATTTATTGATGCATTTATTTAGGTAAATCTTATGCTTTGAAGATAGGTAGCAACTAATATTACATTTTAATTTAAATAATCTATAAGCATAACTAACTGAAGAATACATTTAACCTGTTATTCTTTACTGTTATATGAGGAGATAGTAATTATTTAGTATGCTACACATTGTATAATTCTTGTTTTACTTTTTTTCAAACCATGTATACTTTAAATTGAATGCCATATCACCATATTTGTAGAGTTAACACATACATGATTTTCTATTTATAAATAAATCTGTTTGCAACTCTTTTCCTTAATAATCTTCTACCAACAATTATGTTTCCTTTGGGAGATAAGAAAGGCACAGAATGTTAGGTGACAAACTTAAGAAAGTGATATAAATTATGTTTTGTAGAAATAGCTGATGGGTCTCCAAGTCCTAGTCTTAAAACTGTCACTTTATCTAAAAATGTAGGCTTGAAATCCTAGGCTTATCTTTTATTCACCATCCTTTACTAATTGAAGTTTAAAAATGTGTAAGTAAAGACAATGCCTGCGGTTTTATTGCAGTTCTTAAAGCAGAAAAATTTTCCCCTTATGTAATATTAAGAACTAGTGTTTTTGAGTTAGAAGGCAATTTGTAATATTGATGAATAGTTACTAGTGGGCTCTTCTAACAGCCACATGGGAGGATTTACCTTTTCTATTTTTTTTCTGTTTCTTTGTGCAGTTTAGGACTCACAAATCATTTTTATAGCTATTTTTGTGTTATTAAAGTCTTGACCTTTAAGCAAATAGGAAACCTCAAGCAAAAAGAAATAATTATTTGATCACAACTCCGTAAGCTTGTCAATTGTGTGAATGGTTTCTGCCTATCTCTGTCTTCCCTTGAATTGGCTTTCATTTGAATAACCAGATAAAATAAGGCTTAACTTTATTACTTTTACTGTTATTAAATCCCTAGGTATAAAAAAAATAGAGCCTATTCTCTGTTTGCGTATTTACAGTCTTACAAACCTCTGTGTTGTTTTCTTTGCTTTCTGGGATAGCATTATGTAAGAATTATTGAGGTACAATTTTAAAGACTTATGTTGCTCTATCTGCAATAATTTTAACCTTGCAAAGCTAACATGAAAGGAATCTCAAAAACCTGAATCAGTTAATATTTCTTCCACATTTGTTAGTCAATTGAATTAAGAGTTAAGCTGAGCTTTCTGCTTTTTGTAAAGTTTACTATTAAGTATAAGCAATAAATATATTCCAATAATAGCCCTGTTTGTGCATATGCGTCAGTGACAGATGCTATTTTAAAGGAACAATAATTAAAATAAACTAAACTAATATTTTGAATTTTTTTTCTACAAAGGAGCTATCATTCTATGAGTTCAGAGAGTCAGCTAATAATTAAATTTTATGTTATGGATGCAACATATATAATGAATTTATAGGTGAATGCTTAAACCACTTGATTGGTGTCTTACCAAAATATATTCACCTGAGCTGTAGATATAGCAGTAGGACTAATAGAGTGTCTTAAATCTTACACTTTGACCATTAGAAAACATTGGTAATAATTTCACAATAGATGTCTAAATCAGACCATCACACTGTATAACTTAGACTTAACACAGTGATGTATGTCAATTATTTCTCAACAAAAATGCAAAGAAAACATTAATCTTCCCATTAGTCTTTAAAATTTATTTAATAATTTTTACATAGTAATATATCTTTTATTTTATTATTTGTAGTAGATCTGTTGTTCATTTTATTTCTTGCTACAACAGTCTATACAGGATGTTATTTTAAGGAAAAAAATGGGCCCTGGCTGGTATGGCTCAGTGGATTGAGTGCTGGCCTGTGAACCAAAAGGTCACTGGTTCCATTCCCAGTCAGGGCACATGCCTGGGTTGTGGGCCAGGTCACCATTTCAGGGTGTGCGGAGAGGCAACAGATGGATGTATCTCTCTCATGTTGATATTTCTTTCCCTAGTTTTCTCCCTTCCTTCCCTTCTCTCTAAATATTAATAAATAAAATCTTTTTTAAAAAAGAAAAAGAAATGGTTAATGTACCAGACAGATGTCTTGTAATTATGAGAAATAAGACTACATAATTAACAAATAGGTGTATGGCACATGTAAATCTTTGCTATGTATCACCTTAATCACAGTTTTTGTATTTTTCTCTATAGCAGCTTTATTTGTTTCACAGGGTTATTATTTTTAAGTTGAAGCTCACCTGCTTTCATACTTTGCAGGTCAGTTTCTTCTGGAAGAAGCTCGCCTCATAGAAGCAGCCGAGATGGCAGAAAAAGCAGCTGAACTGGACAGCACAGAGTTTGATGTGGTCTTCAATGCTGCCCACATGCTCAGGTCAGTTTTTGCTACTGTGCCTTAAAAAGAGCAACCTTGTGGCTTTGGGGAAAGCAATTAATTATGCTAATTTCCATCTTATATCCTTATTTCACATTTGTAAAGTGAGTTATTCTGCTTCGCCATGTTACAATCAGTCGGGATTTTTTTTTTCATTCTAGTTTATGTGCATGTTATGTAGGGCATATGAGCTTTCAGGACTCTGAAAATGATTGAGACATCCTTTTCCCTTCCCTTCAAAAATTATTGGCCATAAAATACAAAAAGAGAATTGCACAATTGAAATAAATGACTGTCTAAGTAATATATCTATATGTCAATTAGTCAACTGCATTTCAATATTTGTGGGGGGGTTTGTTAATTACATCGAACGTACTGTGTGGATATATTTTATTACTTTTGGTAGTGGAGAAGATCATCAAATACAAATAGACTTAATGCCTATCAAATTCTCAGAATGGCCATATAATTAGCACTGTTGCTGTGTATTGAAACAATATATCTTTAGACCACTAGTGCGTCTGTTTTCAGAAAGATGGTTAGAAAGGCCTTTATAATAATAGAGAAACCATTAAAAGGCAGATCAATAACTTTTGTTGTAAATTAAAAAAGATCAGTGCTTCCTTAAGTGGGATTTTAGGTTAAAGGAGGATGTTTTTAAGAAACTGACTTGATTTATACAGTTATTTTAAAAGTATTGTTTGTTCTTTTAAAAATATGGATACCCCTTTTCCCATACTTAGCTAAATTTCATTCTGTTAAATCACCTAAATGCTTCATTAGGTGACATTCATACAATGGGCTCAATGTGTGACTTCTAGAGATAGGTTTATAATTATGTAGATTATTCTTCCAAGGGAAGAAAAACAGTATAATCAGTTCACATTTGTATGAAATTAAAACATGAACTTTCAGGAAAAGTAGAGGAAGGTTTTTTTTTTATGTTTAATTTTCAGATGATTGTAGATTTGCATGCAGTTATAAGAAATAACACAGACAGCTCCCTTGTACCATTTATTCAGTTTCCACAATGGTAATATCTTAATAGAACTACTATACAATATCAAAATCAGAATACTGATATTGATACAATCCTCTAGTCTAATTATGTTTGCCAGCTTTACTTGTACTTGTGTGTGTGTGTGTGTGTGTTTAGTTCTATGCACTTTAATCACATCTATAGCTTTTGTATCCGTCACCACAGCCAGAATACAGTGTTCATCATCGCAGGGGTCCCTTGTTCTGTCCTTTTGCAACCACATATTTCCACCTGTCCCTGTCCCCCAAGAACCAATTTTTAAAGCAAGTTTTACATTTTACTTTGGATTTATAATTTGAGACTGTTATTGTAACTGTATCTCAGTGGCTTCCTACTTGGCTTTTTATGTTTTAAATAAGAAATTCAAAGTCCATTTAAGAGGAAAGTGAGTACTATGAGCTTTCTTTTGAGTGCCCTCACTCCACATCTTTATTTAACATTTCTAAAGCTGACATCTACAAAGAGAAATCATGATTTCATTGACTATTGCTATATTTGTAAAATAAACTGTGGTCAATTTGCAAGACCCTTCAGTGGAAGAATAATTTTTAAAAGATACCTTAATTTTCATGATAAAGTTAGGTATGTATCAGGGAGAGAACTTTTGGTTCTTTATGAATAAAACACTGCTTTTAGTCACAAAAAAGCCATTTGTAATGATGGAAATGGGCAAGTTTCTACAGACTAATTCATCTTAATTATCGTAGATACTTTCGTCAATAAGACATTTTGATGTATATTAAATCAGTATCTAAAGTTCAAGATCTTCCAATGGAAACCCATTATAAGAACGTTACAAATAATGTCCTTGTTAAATACATCACTTATAACTTTTCCTTAAATACGATAGTGCTAAAAACCAATGAAGAGTTTTTGTTACAATTGGTGATGTGGGAATATTTATTATTTATTTTTCAGGACCTTCTCTCTAGCTTTTTGCATTCTGCATTCCTCATTAAGTTACAGTCAGTCATCACCTTCCTATATGCCTTAATTGCAAATATACCACAGCAGCCTGGCCATAGTCTTCTTGTGGCAGTCCCCAAGAATGTTTTCTGTTTTTCGGCTCTGTCAAATACAACTGTTTCTTGAATGTTTACTGTCAGACTCCTTTCCCTGTTAATCAAGAACATTTAGGGCTTTGTTTGCTAAAAGGAATAAGAAAGCTTATTGGTTTTCCCTTATGCAGCCTTATCAAAATGGTTAGCTATCAAGATTTTGCCTATTTAATGGCACATATAACATTCCCCCTGGGGGATGCGAACTTGTTATAAATTGAGTTTGATATTAATTCTTCCCTCAAGAGCTCTAGTCTTTTCCAAGATATTTAGGACACAAAACTGGACAGGTTTGGTGACCAACTGGGTATGACGGAAAGGACAGATGTCCCCCTGGCTGTGTCTTGGTTAGCTGAATTAATGTTGACCTAAAATTCAAAATTAACAATTTAGGGATACTATAGTTCAAGGTATGGTTTGAGAACACTCATTTAACCTCCTTGTCCTTGGCTAATTCCCAGTGAAATGACCCAGATAATCTATTAATAAGGAATAACTGTTCACCCCAAATGCAGAAAGACAGGAAGGAAGGAAGGGGGGGAGAGAAAGAAAGAAAGGGGGAGAGAAAGAAAGAAAGAAAAACATCATTCTGTATAGATGAGATGAGATTGCAAGAGCTGAAAGCCTGTGGCCACTCATGAAAGGAAAAATCTTTACCTTACGGGACCTTCAAGGACCTTGAAATTTGAGAAATTTCCAGCAGACCCATTTTAGCTCTCAATAATGGATAATGATCTTTCTCTGTAGAAAGTTTTGAAATACATGATTTCAACTTGGCAGTTCAGATAAGAACAACAAATTAAATGTATTAAGGTAAAGGGCCGTCATCAAAGCAATGAGATTTACATTAAATACATAAGAACCACTTAGAACATCTATTAGTCATGATAGCAAGATGAATCACAAGAACACTATGTGGTGGTGGAAGTATTCATCCTTTTTATCAAATATGCTTGGCCTTCCACCTTCGAGAAACAATAGGATTGCACTTCCCAGCCATTTGCCAAGTTGAAGACCTTCGTGGGTCTTATTTGGGTTACTGAATCCTGTGAACGTGGTGTGTGGCACTTTTGTAAGAGTCAGTGCTTTCCCCTTTTTTCCGCTTGGAAATTGTGGAAATAGATCCTGAAATGGCTCTATTTCAGATGAACCTCCCTTTTCACCTGCTTTAGGATGAGAAATAAACTTTGATATCTTAATTCACTGAGAATTGGGGTGTGTTTCTTTACTCCAGTGTAGCCTAACTAATCCTAACTGATATAGTATATACCTGCAAAAAGAGAAGTAGTTGGAAAGAGAAACAGTACAACATCAGAAAAGATTATTAAGAGATTAATAAGATCTCCAAATTTGTAACTGCAGTGGAGACGATGCACAACTGATAGACTGATAATTTAAATAGAAATATTTTCCCAGAACTTAATGGAAAATGCTAAAAACATGAAAATGATAAAACTGAGAGGATATATTGAGAACACCATACACACTTATAACTGTATATATGTTTGCATTGGATAATTATATGTAGTATATAGGTATGCGTACATAGTTATATACATTCATATTTAGTATATACATAGTATGTGCTATATAGTTTTATTTGTCTGTATACATAAATATGTGTATGTAATTAAATGTACATATTTATATATAAATTTATGTATGCATACATTTTGTATATATAAATAGAGAATTTAGGGAGTATATAGAGCAGATTTCAATAAATAGAGAAAATTTCCAAGGTAGAGTGAAGGCCTTCAATCACCATATTGAAAGCAAAATTAATGAAAATAGCTCTGTGTCTAAACTTGTCTTCACGTATGGGTCACAGCTTTTTGTTGCAAACTAAATAATTCACTCTTGCCAGTATTTATTTAATGGATACTCTTATTAAAGAGTATTCTGCAGCCCCAAAACGCTCTCACAGGCTTGAGAGTGGTCTGCACATCCAGAAATAATGCTGAACCATCTTGCTTTCTTTGGGACGTGGCAGCTTTTACCGTCCAGAGCTCTGCCACCATCATCCATGAGGAATCGAGCAGAGTGAGTGCCACATTCATTTAAAATCATTCTCCCGGGCACAGCTCCCTTCTCCATTATGCTTACTTCCGACTTCCATTCTCTTGAGGTGCTTCAGATTGGTGGGACCTGAATTGTATGGTGGAACCTTGGCTGAAATAAAATGGGCAGACGAGGGAGCTTCTCGCTTCTGTCTTGCTTCGGAAGGTGGGATCCACATTGCAGCTAATTACCCAATGTATTTATAGGGAGGAGGATTGCAGATGTTGAGTGGCTTCACATAATGAACGTTGACTATTCGTGTTGACATTTTTAGTACTTCAAATAAAATGAAAAAAGTGCTAGATGCTTCCGGATGAGAGCATTATAAAAAGCAGATTGGTTATCATCAAAGAAAAATATCAAAGGAATTTAAGATGCTAGAACTCAGTAGAGTTTTATGTCTAGAGAGTTGTGAGAGGAAAGTATTTAATCACTTATTCCATTAGAAGCATTTTGTATGAATGTTTGGATTCAGTGCTCTCCCAGAACTGGAAGCTAGAAAGAGCATAAAGATACTTGATAACTGAGAGGAAGTGTAGAGGCACTAAAAACATACTTTACCTGTTTCACAGCACTTGTGGGCTCTAGTGGAAAGTTATATTTTATTCTTGCTTCTTTTTAATCCACTCACGGGGTAAGGATGGAACAAAAATAGCACTTATTAAAATATCTCCTGTTGGCCTGGTGCCATATTTGAATGTTATATCCTCTTAGATATCCTCTTAGATATAATTCTACATATGTGAAGTAGAAATATTCCCATTTTACAGATGAAGATACTGAGGCTCCAAGAGAGTTGGCATTTCCCACAGTTGGTAAAGCTGGAGTTTAAACTTAGTGTA